CTGGGTTCGCGCGAATGTGCCGAAGACCTTGTCAAATAAAATTTTATCAAATTTAGCAAAGGCATACTTGATTAGATACAAGCTCGACATTGTGGATTTAGCCACCTTCAGGCAGTGGAGTGATGGCTTAAGTAAAGACGTGAACGACACTTCGAGGACCTCCTGAGCCTCTACCTCTGGCAGTGGCGTGTGATTCGGGTAATAAATTCTCCGAGGCGCAGTGCTGGTTCTACCGAATTGCATTAAGTTGCATTTGGCCACATTGAATGGCATGAGCCAAAGGTTCCACCATTGCTCCAGTCGATGCAAATTTGCCTGGAAATTTATTTCATCGTATTGGTTGCGTATGACCTTCCAAAGTTTTAGGTCATCAGCAAACATTATGATTTCGCTGTGAAGTCAGCTTATGCAGTCATCAATATATATAATGAAGAGGATATGGCCAAGAACGGAACCCTGGGGATCCCCGCTCTCAACGGTGATGGAGAGTACGTGCACGTTGGTCTGAGGACTCAGGTCACGGGGTTAGTCGTGGATAACTTAAACGCAGTTGGGCCGTCGAATGCTATCGTCGTCCAACTGCATTGCGACGGCATCACAGTAAACAGAAGAAAATTCTGGGAAGAATTATTGCAACGTTTCTTTGCGGGGAATTTATTGTGGCAGCTTATTGCGGTGTATCGAAACCCGCAGATGTTCATGAGTATTGAAGTCCATTAATTGAGGAGGTTAATACAGTAGGCGCCGGTTATTAAGCCCACCTCGGACCCAGACCCAATTGGGCTTAATAAGCGGCTGGGCTTATTAACCGTGGGCTTAATAACCGGCGACTACTGTAGCCTGCTAAGGGAGGGCTTCTTACTCCCCGATGTCCTTGCTAGTTCTGTAGGGTTAGTTACCGGGTTTCAATTAGATCCCATGCACCTAGTTTACCTAGGTGTCATGCGAAAGTTAATTAAGTTGCGGCTTCAATGCCGGACTACGTCTAGGTTTAGGCTTGCACCGAGGCAGTGCGAAATATATGTAAGAGGTGAATGTCGCCTGGAAGCAGTCTGCTCCTAACGCATACTAATCGCTCACTGTGAAGGCAGGCATGCAGTTGAAGGCAAGAGCATCTTCCCGTACCCACTTCAGTGTTCTTTTTAACATTGTAGATTGCACAAATAACCTACATGCCAAAGCAAGTTGACTACTGACGGGCGGACGGCAACGTAAGCCCACCCTGTTGGGAAAAGATTTCGTTGGAGAGGGGCAGCCGCGTTTCGAATGTGACGTAAAGGCTGCCCCACTTTCGCTTCAAAGCAAATTAAACGAAATAAAATTGGCCTCCCTCTATAGGTACTGCTAACAGGAACCTTCTTTAGAAAAAGTGTTATCGACGAACTCGGCTATCGCCTCTCATGCTCCGCCCCCGTTCCAACACACAGACACACCCAATGGGTTGACCACCTTGCTGCCAAATATTCAAAATGAAATGCGCGACATAAAGGCCAAACTGGCCATCATAGACGCAAAGTTGGATGCAACCCTGAAGAACCCATCTTCAGCACCTTTTTCTGTGCCGCCGGCCCGGACGGAGTGCCTTGTACCGTCGCCCATTACGAGCATGGCCGAATTTGATGGCTTTGAGGAAGCCTCTTGGACACCAAATACTGGCAGCAGGCGGTATGAGTTTTCCCTCTTCTAAGTATTTGCTTAGTTAGGTTGCCTTCCTGCGTTAGCAGGGGGAGGTGGGAGGTTAAGAGCACACGACCACCTCAAGGGGCTCATGCAAACCCTATTCAGCATCAGGTTTTCAAACCTGCCATATCATCGGTTGACTGTCTGTCAGTAAATCAGTGTATAACTATCGTACAGCCGACGGCCAGTCGTTTGAAATCACTCACAAATTGTTAAACGATATCCTTACTGAAGACTATTACATTGGGTTAATGCAACAAAGTGACATGTAAGTTTCTACACATGCCAATATCATCTGATTCAGATTATAGTGCATTCAATCGTTATTCTGCAAACTTGTATTCCGAAAGGAATTTTAAATTTTGTCATAAAATGCCAGCGGACTCCCTAATGAGATGGTCCTCTCAGATAGTGTTGGCACTTTTAAACTCAAACTTGATCCTCGTTTTCTGAAAAACGGATCACACGAGGCAAGAGAATAGTTTAAAGAGGATCTCCTAAATTCCCAATGGTCCGTACTCGGATTCATGGAGAAAGCTGCTCGGAAAAGATGAGAAGAATAAAAGGTTATTAGAATCAGTGTAAAGATAAATGTGCAGTCTTCGTTTGAAAGCAGACAGTCTAGTTAACGACCTTATTTCGTTTGGCGAGTAATTCCAAAGAAATCTATATCTGGGAGCAAAAAACAAAGAGCGTTTGGATGAGGAAGATGCAGGAGGGGGCAAACAAGTGCCGAGTTCCTTAGGTTGAAGGGCTGGCTGACGGGGGTAATGACAGTTATCCTGGGGAGATTTTATTATTATTAAGGCGAAAAAAGAGACAAAAGCCTGCTTCTAATCTCCTGACCCAAATAAATCTTAGTTTCGTTAATTGGCATCTATTTGAGTAAGAAGTACTAGAAGCTGTCGGATACAGCAGTTTTCGTGTGAACTGCTTTTGTACTTTTTCAATTTTTTAACGGCTAATTTCATTCATAAGACCGAAGAACGGGTAACAGTATTCTAAGATGTATTCTAAGATGTGAAGGTCAAGGTCAAGGCGCGCAACTTATCTTTGAAAGCTAAGTGAAATAGA